TGACTGGCCCAAGGTCACCCAGCTGGCTTTGTGCCTAGGTGGGACTAGAACTCACAGTCTCTTGGTTTCTAGCCTGATGCCTTAACCACTGCACCAAATTAGTCAGGTAGTTAATTAATGACTGCCCTGTTTAGCAATTGTTCGAAGTTATGATGCTGCTGAAAAAGTAATTTTATGACCAGTTCTCACACTTACGACCGTCACAGCATCCCTGCAGTCATGTGATTGAGATTTGGGCACTTGCAACTGGCAGGCATTTACAACTGTTGCAGCATCTCACGATCATGTGATCACCATTTGCTTGTTTCACTGCTGGCTTCCCACAAGCAGAGTCAATGGAGAAGCTGGCAGTAAAATTGCAAGTCATGGTCATGTGATGTCTCAGTTAATGACCGCATCACTAGTGATGGAATTGCCAGTCCCAATTGTGGTTGTTAAGTGAGTACTACCTGTAGCTGCATTCAGCAAATAGCCCTAGACTTCTGTTTCATTATTGTTGCAAATGTCCTAGCATATAATAATCTGGCATGAAAGAAATATGTTTTCAGTTATGTAAAGAGAAAAGTCCTTACTTTTCCAAATGATTTTTTAACATAATTTTTATTAAAGCTTTTAAAAAAGAAGCTAAAAGCTAACACAAATTAATATAAAGTAAGGAAGAAGAAAAAATAAACCAAAGAAAAAGCAAAAAGTGCAAGAAAAGAAAAAAGCTAGAAAAAAATAGAAAAGGAAGATAACATAAAGAAATGGCTTCCGATATTCTTCACAGCAGTTATAAGTACAAATATATTTTAACCTCTCTCTATAATGTTACATCATGACTCTCTTCTTTCTATAATCTATCCTGTCTAATCATCAAAACCATAAATATCAAGTTCATTTTTTTCATTTTTATGCAAAAAGTCCATAAGATAACGCCCTTGTTATCTCTCAGGTAGACTACTGCAATGCACTGTACATGGGGCTACCCTTGAAGAGTATCCGGAAGCTACAGCTGGTCCAGAATGCAGCTGCACGGCCTATTGTTGGAGCCCCAAGGACGGCCCATGTAACGCCTCTGCTCC